CAATTTTTCTGCCTACAATTGGTCATGAGTAATGCTCTTCTCTGTTGTGAACAAACAGGTGTGCATGCATTTTCATGAAGCTATTCTCTGAAACTAGTGAAGTAGTGAGACAGAGTGGAAAAATACAGGCTGTGCAATTAGGGAGTCAGAAAATCTGATTTGGTTCTATCTTTACTAGAACTAGTTTGCTCTGTGACCTTGGTCAAGTCACTTCCCTTCTCTCTGAACTTCTTTAGAAGGGAAAAATAATACCTAGTTGCCCAACATATACTAATGGGTTTGTTGTAAGTATGCAATGACTTCATGTATGTGAAAGTTGTTTATATATTACAAACTGCTGAACAAACTGGGGTCCTTTTATAATAACCATGGTTGATCTAATCATATCAGAGGTTATAAGTTCCAAGCCTCTTGTTTTCTAAATGAGGAAACAAGTTTAGAGAGAGGAAGTAACATGCTCAAGGTCACACTGGAAATTAATACCAAGGTTGAAAGTAACATCATGACTCCCAACTCTCCCCGTCCCCAACCCAGAAGTCTCTCCATTGGAACCAAAGGCTGTGTTATCAAGTAACCTCCCATACAAGCCCTATGTGGGACTTGAAGTCTTTTTAAAATGATATTATATGCATTGGGCCAGAACATGATAAGGAAAGCTATTCACACCATCCATGCTGAAATGAACTAAACGAGGCACAGATTGAGTGATCTGGCCAAGTTCCAAGAAGATGAGATAAATAAGAAGGAAACCGCAAATGTAGGCTGGAGGTCAACGTGCCAGGTGAGACAACATCACCAAATGATTGAAATGACTGCATTCTATTGCTGTTTCAAATAACCCTGGTTCTTCTCTTCTGAATCCTGTATAATACAGATCCACATATTTTGACCTAAAATTTTCATTTGAAGAATTCCATGACCCCATTTGCAGTAATTGGAGGCAGGCAGATGTAGAATTGCCAATTCTGCACAACTCAGTCACTTTCTTCTCATACCTGTTTTGATGGCTTCAGCAACAGCTCATTTCCTGGGAACTTTGGCCAAACAATCACTTCTGCTTCACCTTGCTTTTTCCGCTCCTACTGTATTACACATAATTTCAATCCTTGGAGTAGATTTACTTTACTACAAACTCTAGTTTCCCTATCTAAAATCTTTGGGGCCATATGTGTTTTAAGAATTCATACTCATTTGGATTCTAGAAATACAATCCAGTACCTTTCTTAATATATTTTAAACTAGAGGCCTGGTGCATGAAATTCATGCATGGGGGCAGGAGGTGTCCCCTCAGCCCAGCCTGCACCCTCTCCAACCCGGAACTACTGGCTCCTAACTGCTCACCTGCCTGCCTGCTTGATCGTCCCAAACTGCCCTCCTGCCAGCCTGATTACCCCTAACCGCCTCTGTCTGCCGGCCTGATCACCCCTAACTTCCCCCTCCCCCGCCAGCTTGGTTGCCCCCAACTGCCCCCCCTACCAACCTGGTTGCCCCCAAACTGCCCCCCACTGGCCTGGTTGCCCCTAACTGTCCCCCCCCACCAGCCTGGTCACCCCTAACTGCCCCCCCTACTGGCCTGGTGCCCCTAACTGCCCCCTTGCTGGCCTGGTCACCCCATGCAGCCTGCTGTTCGGTCATTACTGTTACTGTGACAGTGTCCCAGACAATTTGCATATTCCTCTATTATTAGTATAGATACCTTAGTAGGATCTGGGGCAGACCCCATAGTCAAATGCTTTACTATTTCTTCAGCAAAACACAGGAATAGGCTCACTAAGTTGGATACTAAATATATCAGCAGCCTCACATCAGAACAGGTCAGGTTTTGCCACCAGGTAAGTTTGCTGCACATTTAAAGAAAATGGTAAGATTTTGGAGCTTTCTAGATTTTGTAATTGCAGATAAAAAATTGTGGATCCGTACAACTACTCAATAGTTGAACTACTCAGTTCAAGTCAAGTAATGTTGATATTTCTATATGTCTCTCAAAGAGAGTCATCAATGTTAGTTGACATGTACTGAGTTGATTTTGTCCTATGGACCTTTCCTGACGTCATAAAGAAACACAACAGAAAATAAAATAGGTACTTTGCCTCCTCTTTTCCTTTCAAAAGACACATCTTTGTTATTGGCAGTGAGAGCGAGTACCTGCCTCCACCTAAATCATCAGCATGACCAGGGGGATAGTAGAAAGATAGAAGGATGATGGTGGATATAAAGAGTATTATTGCTATGGATTGAACTGTGCCCTTCCAAAATTCATATGTTGCCTAAACCCCAATGAGAGTGTATATGAAAATACAGCTTATAAGGAGGTAATTAGATTAGATGAGGTTATAAGGTGTGGGGGTCTCTTTGATGAGGATTGTGTCATTATAAGAAGAGATACTGTAGGGTCCCAGGACCCCCGGTGTATCCGACGGAAGAGGCGACGGCCCCAAATCAAGCGCAGAGACCAGAACTTGATGCAAGAGCAAGAGGTTTCTTTTTATTACAAGCGCGGCGCAGGGACTCGCAGCCAGACAGGCAGCAACCCGAGGGAAGTGCTGGCTGACTGGAGCCCCGAGCAATTGCAGAACACGGGTTTATAAAGGCAAAAACCACACGCAGGTGGCCGGAAAACAGGGAACTGGGTTACCAGTTAACTCATAACTCATCTTTTACAGGGACAGGTCTTTGTTATTAGTTGACTCATTTCCTAAGGGGCCAGGGTGGTCTGGTATGCGCAGGCCGATCCCGAGGAGTGATAAGATAACTATGCTATGACCAGATCAGGGCGCCAGAGCTTTACGGGAAAGGTCAGGAGGGGGAAGTTCTCTTTAATCTTTACATTAACCAGAGCTTACTGGAAAAGCTGGTCCAGGGGGAAAGGGGGGGGTTTTTCAGCGGCCTTACATTCCCCCCTTTTCTTGTGGGAAGTTCCAATCATGGAACTACAGGCTAATGTTTGAGGGTACAGGCTGATACCGCTGTTGGAGGACCATTACCTGAACTGCACTAATCCGGTCCTGGATGAAGGCGATTAAGCGGTTTACTATGCATGGCCCGAATGTCAAAAGGAGGAGTAAAATGATCAGGGGTCCCACGAGAGAGGATATCAGGGTTGTGAACCACGGTGAGCTGTTAAACCAACCTTCAAACCAGCCTTGTTTGGCTTCTCGCTCTCTTTTGCGAGTTTCTAATCTCTCCCTAAGTTTTGACATGGAATCCTTTATCACCCCTGAATGATCAGCGTAGAAACAGCATTGTTCCCTGAGAGCTGCACACAGCCCTCCCTCCTTTAAGAATAGGAGATCTAGTCCTCTCCTATTTTGTAGGACTACTTCAGACAAAGAGGTTAGAGACTCCTCAAGTTTAGTTATGGAGTGCTCTATATGTTTGAGGTCTTCATCTATAGCAGCTCTGAGCTCCTCAGTATAGGTGGGGCCTTTAATGAGGGCTGTTGTCCCTGTTCCTACTCCTGCCGCGACCCCTAGACCTAGGAGAGCAGCCAAGGTCAGTGAAACAAGTTCCCGTTTATCCCGATGGGAAGGAGAATAGGAGTCAAATTCTTTTTCAAATGCATTAGCTTGATAATACATGATCCTGGGGACTAGTTGGACAAGGATACAATAATCTTGAGAACGGTTAAAGGCCTGGGCTGCTAAACATGGAGTAAGTCCCGTACTACAGGCCCACCATCCCCCTGTTGGGGGCACTAAGTAATAGCTTGCAGAGGAGGGATATGCCAGGTTCTCCTTGCAGAGATGCTGGCGGTCCTTTGGCACTTGTCCTATACATGTGCCTTGCCCTGAGACCTCAGTAAGGGTCAACTTCCCCTGCTGTCCCCACGAACAGTGGTCATGGCTGGTGGTGTTGGTATAGTTTCCCTGGAAGGCTATGCCCTCATAGTAGGGGGGCCCTGTAGTTAGGCAGAGCCAGCAAGACTCAGTTAGGTTAGACTTGGACATGTTTAAAGAACTAAAGGCCCCCTCTACCAAGCCTAATAGCCTCTGACCTGAGTTTGTCTCTAGTTCTATGGGGTTGGCCTGTTCCTCCCTGGAGGCTGGGCTAGTTCCTGCCACGGTGGTGGTGGCAAGAGGCCTTTCTTTCGTGGGGAGCTGCCGGCTGGACAAGACGGTGTTGGGTCCTACTGCAACTGGTGGCCTGTAATCCTGTACATCTAATCTTATCTTAAAAAGGAGGCCATCATCATGTTGGTTCTTGTACAGTCGGAGCCCCCAAGTTATTCCCCGGCGCCATTTGTTTAATTCATATGACCGCCCGGCCAGGGTAAAGGAGATATTCAGGGTGTTGATCCAACCCCCCCAGAGCCTCCTGTAGCTACCTTCCCTTGGCCTCTTAACCTGGATGAGGTCCCACGCAGGGGGCCCTTCAACCCAGTATCCAGTACCAGTCGTCTCACATCCCCATCTGGCACAGAAATACTCTTGTTCAGACCCACAATTCTTTCTGTGTCCCTGCCTATCTTTAGGGCACACATAGAACAAGGTTCTCGAAAGACGCTCACGGGTCTGTTGGTTTCGGCATAGACCTGCATCGGCAACCCAGCTCCCCTCCCGCGCGCCAGTTGGCCTTCTTGGTCCCTGAATTGTTTTCTTGGTGTCGTCTATGCTAAGCTTTGGTATGTCCCACAGTGTATGCCCTGCAGCCATGGCACAGAGATCTGGTGTTAGATCCGGCCACCAGGTCCCTGGCGGGGCTACGCTGGTGGTTGACCAAGCAGTCTGTCCAGTGTGGGGGGACATTACCCTCCAAGTTAGTCTTTTTGGGGCATGGGGGTTGCTACTTATCAGCGGCAGGCTCAGCAGGAGGAGGGCAGCGGCGAATCCGTAGCTTGAGAGGGTTGTCTGTCTTCTCTGCAGCCCATCCATGGTAGGTGTCATCTGAAGGGGGTGCTCGCTTGACGTGGGAGGCGTGGATCCAAGCAGCTACACCGTCTACCTTGACCGCTGTTGGGGTTGTCAGCAATACCAGGTGGGGTCCCTTCCACCTCGGCTCGAGGTTGGCAGCTCGATGGCGTCTGATGTAGACGAAGTCCCCAACCTGGAACTGGTGGGGAATCTGTAGTTCTCCTGGTTGGTAGAGGGCAGCCAGGGGGGTCCACACCTCCTTTTGGACAGTCTCGAGAGCCTTCAGCCTGGCAAGCAGGGATTGAGGGGTATGAGTGTCTGTGGGCACAGACCATGGGTCAGCGGACAGGGGCGGAGGGGCCCCAAACAGAACCTCGAACGGTGTCACCCCCAAGGGGCCTGGGGTGTTTCGCGCGCGGAAAAGGGCAAAGGGAAGGAGGACCGTCCAGTCTGCCACGCCAGTCTCTAAGGACAATTTAGTCATAGCCTCTTTTAATGTTCTATTCATTCTTTCTACCTGACCTGAACTCTGGGGCCTGTAAGCACAATGTAATTTCCAATCCGCCCCTAGTATCTTGGCCATTCCCTGACTTACCTGGGCAACAAAAGCTGGACCGTTGTCTGATCCAATTACCTTAGGAATTCCAAACCGTGGAAAGATGTCTTCTAAGATCTTCTTGGCGACCACAGTTGCAGTTTCTCTTTTGGTAGGGAAGGCTTCTACCCAACCTGAGAAGGTATCTATGAAAACTAAAAGATATTTATAACCGTATCGGGCGGGCTTCACTTCTGTAAAATCCACCTCCCAGTAACTCCCGGGCCGGTCTCCCCTGAGTCTCTGTCCCGTCCCGACCTGGGATGGGTGTATGTTTACTAGCTGGCATGCCTTGCATTGTCTGACTACTTCCTCTGAGAGGCGATCGAGTCCTTTGACATAATGTCCAGTGGCCCGGCTGGTGGAGCTGAGGTGTTTGGCCCCCAGGTGAGTGAGGCGATGTAGCTGTTGGAGGTAGGCGGTGGCCGCTTCCCTTGGCACTACCATCTTGTCCCCCGTGGTCCTCCAAACCCCGAGTTCGTCCTTGTGGTATTTTTCTGGCCTTTTAAACAGGTCTTCCTCTTCCTCTGGGGTGTAGAGGAGGGCCTCTGGCTGGGATACCGCGGGACCGACAGCAAGCGTAAGTAGCCGGGGCCCAAGAGCGGCTTGTCTCGCCTCAGTATCCGCTTTCCTGTTTCCCACGGCTATCTCTGAGGTCCCTTTTTGATGGCCGGGACAGTGGATGATAGCTACTTCCCGTGGGGCATGGACAGCCTCTAGGAGGTCAAGAATCTCTTGTTTATTCTTAATTTCTTTTCCTGCCGAAGTGAGGAGACCTCTCTGACGGTATATGGCCCCGTGCACATGAGCAGTGGCAAAAGCATAACGACTGTCAGTATAAATATTAGCTCGGCTGCCTTCTGCAAGTCTGAGGGCCTGGGTTAATGCGATTAATTCAGCCTTCTGGGCTGAAGTCCCTTCGGGCAGGCTACTAGCCCAAATAGTCCGGTCCCGATCAACTACAGCTGCACCTGCTACCCTCTTACCTTCATAGAGGTAGCTGCTGCCATCTGTGAACCAGGTGAGCTGAGGTCCCGACAGGGGAGAGTCCTTAAGGTCTTTCCTTGGCCCTGTCTCTTCTGCTAGGATGTCGCGACACGAGTGTAGAACTTCTTTCCCCTCAGGATCTACTTCCGGCAATAGGGTTGCCGGATTGAGGGCCACCGGGGCCCCGAAATGGACCCGATCTTCGTTTAGCAGGAGACTCTGGTAGTGGGTCATCCGAGCATTGGACATCCACCGGTCCGGCGGTTGCCGGATAATGCTCTCGAGGGTATGTGGGGCCACTACAGTCAGTTTCTGCCCCAAAGTAAGCTTGTCTGCATCCTTCACGAGCAGGGCAGTGGCTGCGATTGCTCTCAAACAGCCTGGCCACCCTCTAGCCACGGGGTCTAACCTCTTGGATAAGTAGGCCACTGGCCTTTTCCATGGGCCTAAAGTCTGAGTTAGGACCCCCCTGGCTATCCCCTTCCTCTCGTCTATGAACAGAGTAAAAGGCTTGGCCACATCTGGTAAGGCCAATGCCGGAGCAGAGAGGAGGGCCTTTTTGATGTTGTCAAAGGCCTTTTGATGAGTCTCCCCCCATTCGAAGGGATTCCCTTGTTTTGTCAGCGGGTAGAGGGGCTCTGCCAGGGTTGCAAAACCCGGAATCCAGAGGCGGCAGAATCCAGCTGTTCCCAAGAACTCGCGGACCTGTCGGGGGGTCTGTGGCCTGGGAATCTGGGTAACCGTGCTCTTCCGGGCCTCAGTGAGCCATCTCTTCCCCTCCTCTAGGGCATATCCCAAATATGTTACCCTCCGCTGACATATCTGTGCTTTCTTGGCCGAGACCCGGTATCCTAGGCGAGAGAGTTCTAAGAGCAAAGCCCCGGTACCTGCTTCACAGTCCTCTTTAGTGGCTCCTGCGAGGAGGAGGTCATCTACGTACTGGAGAAGAGTGACGTGCGGGTGGTCAGCGCGGAAGGCAGCCAGGTCTTGGTGAAGGGCCTCATCGAAGATGGTGGGAGAATTCTTAAATCCTTGGGGAAGCCGGGTCCAGGTCAGCTGCCCCGTTATCCCCGAGTCTGGGTCTCTCCATTCAAAGGCGAAGATGTTTTGACTGGCGGGATGTAACCGTAGGCAGAAGAAGGCATCCTTTAGGTCTAAAACTGAATACCACACGTGAGACGGAGGGATGGAACTTAGGAGATTGTAAGGATTGGGAACCGTGGGATGAATGTCTTGCACCCTCTTGTTGACCTCTCTTAAGTCCTGCACTGGTCGGTAGTCATTAGTTCCAGGTTTCTTTACTGGAAGGAGTGGGGTGTTCCACGGGGAGTGGCATTTGACCAAAACCCCTAGGTGCAAGAGGCGTTGGATATGGACCTTGATCCCCCTCCAGGCCTCTTTCGCCATGGGATACTGTCGCACTGCAATCGGGGTTGCAGAGGACTTGATTTCTATTATTACGGGGGGCCGTTCGACAGCCAGGCCCATCCCCGCAGTCTCGGCCCAGGCCTTAGGGTATTTATGTAGCCACTCCGCTAACCCCTCACTCTGTTGAATTCTGTCCTCAAACAGCCGGTGCTCATCTTCGAGTTGAAGTGTCAAGAGGGTAATTGGTTCCCCATGCTGGGTCAGGGTCGGCCCCCGAGGGGTGAAAGTGATCTGGGCCCCCATTTTGGTTAGCAGATCCCTCCCAAGCAGAGGTGCAGGGCACTCGGGGATGACCAGAAACGAGTGGGTTACCCGTCCCGCTCCTAAGTCTACTGTTCTTCGGGTAGTCCATGAGTATTGTTCATTTCCCGTTGCCCCTATTACCCAGGAGGTCTTCTGGGAGACCGGCCCTAGCGGTTTCTTAAGAACTGAATACTGGGCTCCTGTATCCACTAGGAAGTTGACAGGCTTCCCCTCCACCTTAAGAGTTACCCTAGGCTCGGGGAGGGGGTCCGAGCCCCGACCTCTTCAATCACTATCTTCCTGGAGTGCCAGCGCCTTTTTCGCTAGCTTCTTCGGGCACTCCCGCTTCCAATGTCCTTCTTCCTTGCAATAAGCACATTGATTCTTCCTTAACGGTGGCCTGTTGCCCAGGGCCCCTGCCTGTCTTTCTTTTCCTCTCTCCTGTGGCTTACTCCCTTCTATTGCTGCGGCCAAGATACGGGTTAGCCTTTTCTCTTCCCTTTTTTCTTTTTTCTCTTCCCTTTCCTCTCTCTCTCTCTCTCTCCGCTGCTCCTTCTCCTCCTCAGTCTCCCTCTTGTGGTATACTTTCTCTGCCTCTTTAACTAAGTCCTGGAGGGTAAAATCCTGCAGTCCCTCAAGCCTCTGCAGCTTTTTCTTAATATCTAATGCTGACTGCCCTATGAAAGCCATAGCTACTGAGGCCCTCTGCCCCTCCGAGGTGGGGTCAAACGGGGTGTACCGTCTGAACGCCTCCATTAATCGCTCGAGAAAAACAGAAGGCGGTTCAGTGGGCCCCTGTATGACCTCTCTTACCTTAGCCAAATTCGTGGGGCGCCGAGCTGCCCCTCTGAGGCCGGCCACTAGTGTCTGGCGGTAGACCTTCAGGTGCTCCCTACCTTCTGCCGTGTTGAAGTCCCAGTCCGGCCTGGCCAGAGGAAAGGCCGCATCCACCAAATGAGGGAGTAGAGTCGGCCGGCCGTCGGGGCCAGGGGCGTTCTTCCGGGCCTCCAAGAGGATCCGCTCCCTTTCCTCTGTAGTAAAGAGAGTCTGAAGAAGCTGTTGACAATCGTCCCAAGTGGGCTGGTGAGAGAACATAAGGGACTCAACCAGCCCCGTTAGACGCTGGGGATCCTCTGAAAAGGGAGGGTGGTTAGTTTTCCAGTTATAGAGGTCTGCCGAGGAGAAGGGCCAGTATTGGAGTGGCTGGAGCGGAGCCGTTTCATTATCGTCTCCGCGGGGGGGTGGAGGCCCGTATGGTCGGAGAGGGCAGGCTACGGTCGAATCTGGAGACGCGGGATGTCTCCTCTGACTCCGGGTTCCCTGGGCCGGTCCCTCTGTTGGAGGGGCGGGAGGAGGTGCTGAAGGCTCCGGTCTCTCCGGCGGCTCTGGCTGGAGAGGAGAGGGGTAAGGGGGTGGAGAGTCCAAGAGGAGAAGATCGGTTTGAGAATCTGCCAGGGGACGTTTCGTCTGATCTGCGGCGGGAGGGGCCTGGGCCACGAGAACCCGGGAGGTTCCGGATGGCAGCCAGGGTTTCAGCCAAGAGGGAGGGTTCTGGACCAGGTCCTGCCAGACGACAATATACGGCTGCTGGTCTGGATGGCCCGCCGGGCCTGATTGGAACACCTTATTCTTTACTGCAAAAATAATAGACAGGTCAAAAGTCCCGTCCGCTGGCCATCCCACGCCTAGGGCTGGCCAGTCGGATGAACAGAAAGTCTGCCAAGGACCCTTCTTAACACTGACGGAAAGATTGAGTCCCCGACTCCGGACGTCCTTCCAATGTGCCACTGTGAGAGAAAGAGGGGTGCTGCTTCCTTGGCCCATGTTACCTGGATGGGAGAGGAGGAGCAGAAGACAAAAACAAAGAACAAAAAGCGACACGACGAGACACCGGACCCACACGAATTTACACAGATACAAAATGACTGCTGAGGGACGATATCCCTCCCTGACGCTGGTCTGGCCGGACACACGAGTGCCCGTTGCCAGGCAGCCAGAAGTGACCAGGACCTCCCGGTCACCACCCGTCCCTGGGGCGTCCCCCAGGGTGACAGTTTTTCTGGTCGAAGACCCTTCAACCAGAGAAGCCGTCTCCTTACGGAGCCGGCAACCTGCCGTTCCGAAAAACCGAAACTGAGGACGAACAGAAGACAGAACGAACACTGAGCGACTCCGGAGTCTGCTTACCTCCAAGACCGATCTGGGCGCTTGAAGGGGGGTCGCCCCAAATCCCGGACGAGCCCCCAAATGTAGGGTCCCAGGACCCCCGGTGTATCCGACGGAAGAGGCGACGGCCCCAAATCAAGCGCAGAGACCAGAACTTGATGCAAGAGCAAGAGGTTTCTTTTTATTACAAGCGCGGCGCAGGGACTCGCAGCCAGACAGGCAGCAACCCGAGGGAAGTGCTGGCTGACTGGAGCCCCGAGCAATTGCAGAACACGGGTTTATAAAGGCAAAAACCACACGCAGGTGGCCGGAAAACAGGGAACTGGGTTACCAGTTAACTCATAACTCATCTTTTACAGGGACAGGTCTTTGTTATTAGTTGACTCATTTCCTAAGGGGCCAGGGTGGTCTGGTATGCGCAGGCCGATCCCGAGGAGTGATAAGATAACTATGCTATGACCAGATCAGGGCGCCAGAGCTTTACGGGAAAGGTCAGGAGGGGGAAGTTCTCTTTAATCTTTACATTAACCAGAGCTTACTGGAAAAGCTGGTCCAGGGGGAAAGGGGGGGGTTTTTCAGCGGCCTTACAATACCAGAGTGATCACTCTGCCCTCTCTCTGTGTGCCTCTTTCTCTCCCACCTCCTTCCCTGTCATGTGAGGACACAGCAAGAAAGTGGCCATCTGTCTGCAAGAAAGAAGCATCCTCACCAGGAACCAGATTTACTGGCACCTGGATCTTGGACTTCCCAACTTCAAGAATTGTGGGGAATACATTTATGTTAAATCACCTGAACTGTGGTACTTTGTTATTGCAGACAAGGATGACGAATACAATTATTGCTATAATTCTATCTCTCATATTGGCTGTCTTCTCATGCCTTATACACAGTCATGAGTTTTACTCATAGTAATTTTGTTTGGGTGCACAGTTCGATGCCTTGCTGCTTGTGGAGCATTTGTTGAACACTAAGCTCAGTGTCAGAGATCTAAATAGTTGTCTTGACTCTGCCACTTACAGGTGTATGAACCTAGACAGGTCCCTTCCTTTCTCTGGGGCTCTGAAAGTTACAGACTGGATCATCTCTAAGTTTTCTTCCTACAGTGACATCCCCAAATACTGAGAATTTAACCACACCCAGTTTGCATTTCCCAGTAATGCTTTTTGGCAAATCCAGGAAACAGCTCTACAGAATCATTAAGGCATCCCTTCTCCCCGCTCCACCCCCAAGACCATTTTTATTGTTCTCACACTTACCTCCAGGGTGTTAGTAAGATCGATGGAACTGTTTGTGTTTCTCAGATGGAAAAGCTACTCAGGAGTGTCTTTGCAGCTTGATTGTGGTTAAAGCTGCCTTATGAATTGCTGATGACCTGCATTTCTGAAAGAGATTGAGGTAAATGTAAATTACAGCAGGGTCAATTTGGGGGTAGGAAGTAATTCTTCCCATGATGCTCACTGGGCGATAGTCTGAGAAAAAGCTAAGAATCATATGATTTCATTCATATGTGGGATATAAAACTGAAACTCGTAGACACAGACAATAATAGAGTGGTTACCAGAGGGAAGGGGGTTCAAGCTAGGAGTAAAAGGGTCAAATATATTATGACAAAAGATGGCTTGACTTTGGGTGGTGGACACACAATGCAATATACAGATCCTTTATCATAGAAATGTATACTCAAAACCTATGTGATCCTATTAACCAATGTTGCCCCAATGAATTTCATTTTTTTAAAAATCAGGGAAATATCCTCTACATCTATGAACTGCCTTCCCAGCAGAGGCCAGGTCAAGGAAGGAGACACAAAGATCTGGAAATGACTTCTTAGCCTAATGCTATGATTGCCCTGTGAGTCAGGCAGGAGTCACTCCACTTCCCCTGCCACCCACCACTCTGTACTCCTTTTCTGTGTAACATTTCCATGTGGATCTTCAGTTCTTCCCCTTCTCCACCAAACCCTTTTACCCCAAGTCTGACTGCATTGCCTCTTCTTCTCCTCCTTCTGACACATCAAAGAGATAGTGAAGCAGGAATGTTGGTGTAACATAGGCAGGCTCAGGGATTTTTTAGAATTGGGGTCCATGGAAAAGGGCAGGGCTGCAGACTGGGAGAAGGTACAATTCCATAACACAAGGAAGCTAGGTGCAGTTACATCTCCATAAGACAAGGGAGAAGCAACAGTTGCATTTACATAAGACAAGGGAACTGGAAGTAGCCAGAAAAGGTCTATATTTACAAAATAAAGAGAAGGAAGCCCTTCATTCAGATGGAAAAGAAGAAAGCCCAGAGAAATGGAAGAACTATGAGGGAGGAGGGCCTTAAGAATCACTATAGTAACCAATTCGAAGGGAAATATTAACCAATCAGAAGGGATATCAGGACACAGGAACTGCAGCCTTTATAAGCCATGGGGAAAAAGAACTCAGTGGGACCCTTTTCCCACTCCCTACTGGGGAGTCAGTTCTGTGGGACTCTTTCCCTCTCCTCATGTGGGAGTCTGTACTTGTTCTTCAATAAATCTTCACCTTTGCTATACCACTTTCTGTCCATGGATTCATTCTTCGATTCCAGCGGACAAAGAATCCGGGTTTTAGTCCAAAAATTCGGTATCAATAGTAACCCCATAAGAGAAAATGTTTAATTTATTATCCAATCAATGCTCAAACTGCAATATAACTGATGCATTATAATTGTCATGACATGCACCATATTTCAGTCACATTGCCATGTCCCCAAAGCCTTTATAAAAGTATTTCTGCCAGAGGTTTCTCCTATTCTGACTGTGAATCTGAATCACTTTAAAGTCTTGTTAAAATACAGATTTTTTTTTCAGGCCAAACAGACATCCTGAATGAGAACCTGTGGGAGTGGTGCTCAGAATCTGTATCTTAACAAGCTCCCCAGTACTTCTTAAGCAATTAGCCTAATATTAGCCATTTGGAAAATGCTAGTGGTGGCTTCATACTCAAAGAAGCTGAGACCTCGTGTCTTTAATGTTAATGTTGATATAAATTCTAAATCTTTACTGCACATAGCTAAAATATTACTCTAAATTAACCAAAAGGCATATTTATTCTAATTACACTGGAGTGAATCATGAAACACAGCAAGAATGCAATTGGGCTCAAGAACAACTAGAACGTTACCCCCAGGACTCTTCTGTCTTATCTCAACTGGCTTCTGAATTTCTACTTGGTTTTTCCCACTCACTCAGCCAGGCTTCCTCCTCTCCTCAGTGGCAGAATGTGACTGCAGGCATTTCCCAAATGCTACATGTTTTAATCCATATACCCAGATAACTTTCTCTCCTATAAGTTCAGATTCTCAGGAAGAGAATTTGAATTAGGCAACATCAGGTGTCCCTGCTCCTCAAAGTAAACACAATACAAATACATGCACATGTTGGGAGCCATTAGAGATATTGGCCTAGACAAAGCCATCTTAAGAACAATAAGTTTCTGGTAGGAACTCCTAGTTACCAGAAACCACGTATTTCCTGAGGTTTGGTCAGCAGCTAAAGACAATTATCTCATACCCTGAAGCAACTACCGCCACAACCGGAGCCTGCTACAACCCTGTTGATAAGCTAATAGGCTTCTCCACCCACCCCCCCTCCCTAAAACAGTATATATCCTGCCGCTGTGAGAATAAAGTTTGAGGTTTGATCAGGATCTTGTCTTGCCTCCATTTCTTCACGTCTCCTATCCTCTCATTCCCTTACAGGAATCGTCACGGTACCCACGTTACATGCCCCACGGGTCAGGGCATGCACATATTCATATTCTCTCTCTCCCATGAACTATGACTCTGAGGTTAAGATGGAAGCTCTCTCAGTCACCTTGTGCTTAGGGTTTGGTGAATAGCAGCAGTTCTCAGAACACTCTGGGAAGTTCCTGTAAAGGAGAGTTGGAGGGAGAAGTGCTGGATGAGAAAACAATGGGTACACATTATAATATATTAGAGACCTGATGCACAAAGATTCATGCAAGAATGGGCCTTCCTTCCTCTGGCTGCCAGCACCGCCTTCGCTCCAGCCCAGAGCCCACCTTTCTGCCTTTGTTCAGGCCTGGAGCCGCCTTTCTGCCTTCCAACGCTGCCCAGAGGCCTGAGTGGCTGGGGCAATAGGGAACGCCTGTGTCATCGTCATGGAGATGACACAAGCATCCCGCCCTGCCCCCAGCTGCTCAGCGCCTGCGTATGCAAATTAACCCACCATCTTTGTTGGGTTAATTTGCAAACTCACTCCTGATTGGCTGGTGGGTGTCATGAAGGTACAGTCAATTTCCATCTTTCTCTTTTATTAGTGTAGATCTCTCTTAGTGCCCATCACAGTGCTTAGTTCCTAATAAATGCTCAATAAACATTTGTTAAGTGGAGCACTATGCCAGAAGTAGTCAGAAAATCAGATTTCCAGTCACTAGCCATGCAAACATCAAATCTCTAAATCAGTTTCTTCATCTAAAGAGTGGAAATAACAATATGGCTATTTAGTGAAAAGGAAAAAAAAATCAAAATTATACACACACTTTTATGTATATCTGAAAGTACTGTAAACTGCAAACTAGATACTGAGTGCTATTTTCAATGATCTAAAAATATATTTTTGCATTGAAACCTTCCCATTCATTGTTAAAGATTCATGTACTTGATTTAATAAGGTCATTTATTTATGGGAATGCAAATTGAAACCTGAAGTCCACCTTGCTTGAAGATTTTCTCATTTATCAAAGTTATCTACAGTTTAAATGTCATATTTCAACAGAGCCTGCTACTGGGAGTAACCACTGAACTTGCTACATGCCCACCCCTATGGTAAGCTCTTTTTTACATATTATCTCATTTAATGCAAACAACTCTTTGAATTAAGTATAAATAGTATTGCCATTTTACACAAAAGGAAGTTGAGTTTTAGAAGGATTGGGTAACTTGCTTAAGGACACACAGATAATAAGTCCTAGAACCAAAGTCTATCAATAAAATGTGTGTGTTTGAATTTGTCTTTCTGAAAATGTCATAGAAATTTCTATATTACCCAGGAGCACATGATTGTTAACAGTCTCCCCAAAACTTGCTTCAAGATATGAATAATTCAATAGTATCTTTCTAGCTAAGCCTTTTAAAATATAACACATTTCATCCTCAATGCTAATGTTCTTCACTGAATTATTCTCTGAATCCGATTCTGATATGTTTTTAATTGAAACTATTGTGCTTGGACTAAATGCAAAAGAGTAAATAGAAAAATCTATTTGTAAGCCAGATGTAAATGGCAAGATGACTCCTAAAAAGCCTATAAAGACTCAACATGTAAATTGCCAACAAATAAATCAATTACATTTTGGTCTTAATGTGTTTCATTTCTG